CTTTTAAGAAAACATTATCAAAAATATAAGTTAATAGCTGATAGTCCATTATGAATGACTGGTAATCAGAATTTTCTTCTTTATTCAATGATGGGTGCATAATAAATTTCCTTTATATGATGATGATTGAATCAGTAAATTTTTCATTATTTTTATAAAATATGTTAATAGAGTGTATATTTATGAATTTTAATTTAAAAACAATAAGGGTCTAGAATATATTTTTTTGATTATAAATTACAAATACAAATGAATAAGAATTTATTTTAAAAGATTTTAATATATTTTTTAGATTAAAAATATAATACAAATGAATAAAAATTTATTGTGCACATATATTAAAATATCTAAATATATATTTCTTTAATATATTTTGTAAAACCACTGGAAAATTTTAAAATTACACCCTCATTTAAACAAATATAAATTTAATTTCTGAATCACACCTCATAAGATAGGAGAATTTTAAGATTCAGCCATCCACCGTCAAATAAAGGATAAAATTATGATTCTCCATCATTCTTGATGGCCATCAGTGAGTAAAAAAATATTATCTAAATATTTATTTCATTTTTATTCTAGATGCCAAGTAACAAAACAATATATAAAGTCAAATGTGACTATATTAATTGTAAAACTTCTAAAATAAGAAGTGACAAAATAAATAACCATTATAAACATAAACATCCTCATGTCAAGTTATCTGATATCAAATTTACAAAGATAGCTATCAAAAAGGATAATAATTGGGTATCCTTAAATAAAGATATTCCATTCAATATCACAAATGGGGTTGAAACCAAGTTACAAAAAAAATCAATAACATCTTACTTCCAAAAAGTAATTTTTTATATATATTATTTTAATTCATGACAATAAATATAAGTAAAAATAACCTTAAATTTTGTGAATTAGTAGAAACCAATTCTTCATCTATAATTTGAGCATAATACTTTTAATTTTTATTAAAGATAAGATTTTTAATATATAGGTACATTTTTATTATGCCCTTTATCAATTTTGAAGGAAATAAATTATAAGAATATTTAAATATTTCAACTTTTGTTAAAAAAAAATTTATATATTATAATTAAGAATAAAATAAGTCATTTGCCTAAAATTTTCACTACTCTTTATTTAATAATTAGCACAAATCTTTTATTGAAGATTCCCAAATTATATTATCTCATACAATGCCCAGTTCCAGTGATCTGCTGATTTTGAATAATGAGGTACTTAATTTAAATAAGATTTGTTTTATAATTTTGAAGGGAATAAATGAGGATATTCAGATATTTTCATGAACAAATTTTAATTAATCTTTATTTAATAATTAGCTCAAATCTTTTACTGAAGATTCCCAAATTATATTATCTCATACAATGCCCAGTTCCAGTGATCTGGTGATTTTGAATGATGAGGTACTTAATTTAAATAAGATTTGTTTGATAATTCTGAAGTGAATAAATTATGAAATATTTTCCACTTTTCTATATCTTAATTAAGAATAAAATTTTTATTAAAATTAAGATTTTCATAAGTAAACAAATTTTAACCACTCTTTATTTAATAATTAGCATGAATCTTTTATTGAAGATTCCCAAATTATATTATCTTCTCATACAATGCCCAGTTCCAGTGATCTGCTGATTTTGAATAATGAGGTACTTAATTTAAATAAGATTTCTTTTATAATTTTGAAGGGAATAAATGAGGATATTCAGATATTTTCATGAATAAACAAATTTTAATTATTCTTTATTTAATAAGTAGCACAAATCTTTTACTGAAGATTCCCAAATTATATTATCTCATACAATGCCCAGTTCCAGTGATCTGGTGATTTTGAATGATGAGGTACTTAATTTAAATAAGATTTGTTTGATAATTCTGAAGTGAATAAATTATGAAATATTTTCCACTTTTCTATATCTTAATTAAGAATAAAATTTTTATTAAAATTAAGATTTTCATAAGTAAACAAATTTTAACCACTCTTTATTTAATAATTAGCATGAATCTTTTATTGAAGATTCCCAAATTATATTATCTTCTCATACAATGCCCAGTTCCAGTGATCTGCTGATTTTGAATAATGAGGTACTTAATTTAAATAAGATTTCTTTTATAATTTTGAAGGGAATAAATGAGGATATTCAGATATTTTCATGAATAAACAAATTTTAATTATTCTTTATTTAATAATTAGCACAAATCTTTTACTGAAGATTCCCAAATTATATTATCTTCTCATACAATGCCCAGTTCCAGTGATCTGCTGATTTTGAATGATGAGGTATTTAATTTAAATAAAACTATACACTCTTTAATAATAATTAGCAAACACACAAAGTTATTGAAAATTCCCCAATTATATCTTTTTTTCATCCAATTATCAATCCCAATGCAAGCCAAAATATTTCAAACATTAAAGGCCCAAATATTATTCAATTATATAAAAAAAAGGAGCCTAATGACCCTTTTCATTTCATATTCTTTAGAATGACAAATATCTTGATTAATTTCATAATTTCCATAGGCCCATGTCAGCCATGTTCAAATATATTTCAATATCCTGTTACTCACAAAAGGTTTTTAAAAAATTTAATTTTTATTAATTTTTACGCATCCATTATTTCTACTTTTAAATAGGAGCATGAATATATCCTATTATAAAAAGGTTAATATTGATGGTTCCCTCAAACCAAGAAATTGGTTATCCTATAGCACCACTTTAGACAAAGTCTTTTGTCTTTATTGTCTTATGTTTGGTGGCCCTAAATCCAATACTTTTTGGACTCAACTTGGAGTAAATAATTGGAAAAATTTTAAGCGTGACTTAGAGAGACATGAGTCATCTTCTATTCATAAGGATTGTGAATACACCAACATGACTTGGCTTGCAAATAAGCGTATTCAAGATCATTTTCTATCAAATAGGCTTGATATAATAATGGAAAATCGTAATATAGTTCATAATATTATTGATGCCATTATATACCTTATAAAATGTAACATAGCCTTTTGGGGCACTAATTCGAATGAAGGTAATTTTATGTGCCTCATAAAATTAATGGCAAAAACGGTTCCAACTTTACGGGCATACATTGATAACAACGAAAAATTGAGGAGAAAAAAATCAGATAAAATTTCAAGACCTTATATAAATTTATTGTCATATGGCCATGTGAAAAAAATTATTGAAGTCATTAAGATAAAAATAATAAAATGTATTATTCAAAAAATTAAAGAGAATTGTGCCTATAGCATCATATTAGATGGAACATATGATGTGTCTAAAAAAGAATGCATTGCTTTACTTGTAAGATATATAGAAGATGATCCGCATCCACATCCTGTAGAAAGGATCATCCATGTTTTTACAACATCAGAAACCACCGGGGAAAATATAAAGAAACATGTTTTTTCTAAGTTCAAAGATCTTGGTCTTCCTCTTGATTATATGGTTGGGCAAAGTATGGATGGTGCAGGGAATATGAGAGGAGTATACAAAGGAATGCAGGCTTTAATATTGAAAGAGGCTCCAAAAGCCATATATATTTGGTGCCATGCACATAGGCTCAATTTAGTAGTTGCTCATGTTTGTGGATGCAAAATAGAAATGAAAAAGGTAATGGGAATATTGGATGAGTTATATAATTTCATGAATGGGGTAAGACGTCAAGGAGTGTTTGTTAAATATCAAATGACAAAGTCTAAAAAATCTCTTAAAAGAATAAAAAATACAACAAGGTAAATATAATATTTTTAATGTAACTTATCTTTTTTTAGAAATTGGTCATCATCTTATAAAGCTGTAGAAATTTTTTTAGATGTTTATGAACATTTTATAGCATCATTAAATGAATTAAAAGATTCTAATGACCCAAGCACCTCTTCTATTGCCGATGGATTATTAACAAGAATTAAGGATGAAGATTTCATATTAAGTCTATTTATTTTGAAAGAAATATTGAAATGCACACATGAGGCTTGTATTGAAATGCAGGCAGTTGGTAATGATTTGGCTATGGTAACTAAATTAATACAACACACAAAAAATAAATTACAAAGACTAAGAGGTTAAAATTAGTTACGATTTCTATAAATAATTTTAAAATGTAGCTAATGGGGATAATATTTTTTTAAAATTGCATTCCTTATCTCTAACAGTTATTTGAAAAAGAATAATGTTACAACGGAATTGCATAATATAAAATCAATATTCAAATTTGATCAAACAGCATTCAATAATTATGTTAAACAAAAAAAAAACAAGTTGAATAAAAAAAGATTTAAAATTATTATTTAGCATTATAGATATAAAAGGGAAATATTTTTCCCTGTGCTTGATACAATCATTAATGATTTAAATGAAAGATTTAATTATGATTGTTTAAATTTTTTATCTCAAATATCTCTTTTTACACCAGCTGGAATTATAGCCAATGATAGAATAGAAGGGTGGCAAATATCTCAAATTTGTCATACTTACCAATTAAATGCTCAAGATATTGCTCGTGAATATAATGATTTTCGATCTTTATATTTGGATTCACAAGCAATCATTTATTGCAAGGATCTTTTGAAAATAAAAAAGAATGATGGGTTATATATTGATGAAAGTAATTTATTGATATTTTATTTAAAATTATATATAATTAAAGGTATTGTAAACGATGAAACCGAGGAAGATATCAATAACGATAACATAATTAATACAAAAAAATGGATAAAATATTCATTTATACTACCATATCGTCTTTTAAATAAATTAAATTCTTATTCTAATTTATATTTATTATATAAATATTTATTGACTCTACCAACTACTTCTTGTTCAGCCGAAAGAGTGATGAGCAAAGTCAAAATAAATAAAACTAGAATGCGGAATAAAATTTCTGACCCCTTTTTAGAAAATTTACTTCTAATATCCAGCGAAATTGATGTTTTTGAAAGATTTAAAATAGACGACATTATAACGCGATTTGCATCTACGTCTAAAAGATTAACTAAATTATTAATAAAATAAGTTATATCTTTTTCACAGCTAATTATATACGCCTTTTTAATAATGTAAATTTAATTTAATAGTTTTTTATATCATTCTAGTCCGGTGCATAATATAATACTATATTCATTTTATTTAAATATTTTATAATAGTTATATTTACATAAATGTTTTTATAATTCCAGTGCAAAATATATTATATTCATTTTATTTTAATATTTTATATAAAACTTATATTTACATAGATGTTTTTATAATTCCAGTGCAACTATATTCATTTTTTTCTCATATTTTATATAAAAGTTATATTTACATAAAAAAATTTATATTTCCAGTGCAAAATATACTCTATTCATTTTATATTTTATATAATAGTTATATTTACATAAATGTTTTTATAATTCTTGTGCAAAATATACTATATTCTTTATTCTAATATTTTATATAAAAGTTATATTTACATAAAAATTTTTTTTATATAATAGTTATATCTATATGAATGTTTTTAATTAATATAAAGGCATTAGTATTTATAGAATCAAGCTATACCTCTTTAAAATTACTCATTTTGTTTTTTTTACTTAATATAAAGGTATTAGTAATTATAGAATCAAGCTATACCTCTTTAAAATTACTCATCTTATATTTTTTTACTAAATTTTTGATATTTTTTTATAGTAATGTAAATATGTTATCTCATTTAATACTATTATATTAATTTTTATGAAAATAAATTGATTATCAATCAAATTATGAAAAGATTGCACTACCTACTTAAATATAAGTTAATTGAAAACGGATAGTAACAATAGTTATCAGTTTGTAAATTTTTTTTTCCAAAGCAGGTCTGAATGTTTGTAAGGGTATAAATAGTGACTTAATATAAGATTTTCTTGATTAAGGCAAATATCGCGGCCGAAGGCCGCGAAATTTTTTTAGGGGGGTAGGGGTAGATTTGGGATGGGGGTTGCCTCCATCAAATTTTCTGCCATGTAGACGCTGCCTATCGTTACTCTCAATTATTCATCTGATAAGAGATTACTAAGGTTACGACTAGGGAGTGATTCTAACCATTCATGACCATCAAGTCTGTCAGATAATTGAAGGAGTTGAATGCAATATATAGGTGGATTGACTGATATATCTGTTTGGTATTTCGAGATTAAAGGTGTGAAAAATTTTTTTTGTGTGTGATGATTGATGGTAATACGGTGTTAATGGGTGTGTTTGCTTACCATTTATCAATTAATAAATATTATTTAGGGAATAAATATTGGTTAAACTCAGGTATCACTTTCACCAAAACTAATAATCTAATATATAATATATTCTTAAAATCTGGGTAATGAACGATTCTTAGAAGGCTTCGATGAAAAGTATAAGAAAGGGTTGAATAAAAAATAAAAAATTAAAAGCTCTATCATTGAATCTATCTTTCAATTAAAAAAAAGAAGACTATTTAATTAATATAGTCTTCATTTTTAAATCTGATCCAGTTTTAGATCCGAGTGATAGCACTCCAGTTTTAATAAGGATTCTAAGAATTTTGTAATTTTTCTGAGCATTCGTGGTGAATAGAGCCCTGAAAAGTAATTTTTAGGGACCCGAGCCTGACCCGAGCAAAAATTTTAAAAATTCGTGTCCGATCTCGACCTGAGCCCGAACACAACTTTTTGGTAAAAACTTTGGAATTTTTCATCCCGTTTATTAAACATAAGTAGGAATTTCCATACTATAGATTTTCCATTTGTATAATCTTTGGTCTCAAATTAATTTTAATTTTAGCAGAAATTATTTTTAAATTTAGGATCCATTGTATAAATTTTTTTTTATAAATATAAAAATCTAAAGCTATTAAATTGAATAGATTTTATATAAAACAAATAGATTAATATTCTAGATTTTATGTTGACTAAATGTAGAATATTAGTATATATATTTTTTTTAGCCTGATATAATATGATGTATGTAAGTAATAGAGTTTTAAGTAGCCACAATACAAATCAAGATCACAGGAAATTGTTGGGAATGGGAAATCGGGTAAATTAACAAGTATGAATGCCATTGTGGATCTTATGTGGCATTACTTTGAATCAAATAATTATTGATGATATTTCTAATATTTAATTTTCGGCTTGTTCACCTAAGCCTGTTAAAAAAGTTTTCAATGTCCAAGCCCGACAGCCCGCACAGGACTCTAATGGTGTGCTCAGGTTCGACCTATTATTAAACAGCCTATGGGGACCTAGTTTAAAGGCTGCTTGGCTATGCTAAACAACAAAAATATCGAAAATAAGTAGAACCAGGACACAATCTAACTAATGAAAGGCTGTATCCTGGTTCATTCATCTTCAAAAATTTGACTAAACAGCCTAAAATGTAAGAGTAAAAACACGAAAAAAAACAATCGCAAAACACTTAAAAAAAGCCAAAATGGGGTTTCCTATTTCAAAACGGTTTAGGCAATCTATGAATTTCTTTTCTCTTATCTTTTAAGTTTTCATTCTGAGTTCCTATCACGATTCATTTTTGATTCCGCATATCGCGTAAAAATATCAGCACGCACATAAATGTAGCGTTTCGCAAATAGATGGTAGCATGAAATAAATAAATATCTGGGTTTTTAATTTTTTTAATAAAAAAAATAAATATATATATATATTCTTATGTTTCAAATTTCTTAACTAAATGCCAAAAACATCATATTACATTTTTAAAATATTACAAAAATGTTTACTTGGTAATATGAGAAATAAAATAATGTTCTAACCTTCAAAAAGTGTTAAATTTTTTTTTTAAATACATATTTATTATCGAAGATATCAAACTACCAAAATTAGTTCCAAAGTACTCTCTATTTCTTGCCAAATGATAATAAGTCAATGTAAATTAATTATTAATGTTAATTTAACCTTCATTTTAAAGTTGGAAAAAATTTTTAAAATCACAATTTTTAATAGAATACACCTAAAAATTATATATTGACTTGAAAATAAAAGTTTCCTCAATAATTGGATAACAAAATCACTAATATACAAATGCATTTGAAATCGCTGGTAAAAATATATATAGTTAAAATTTAATATGGTACTAATCTTAAATTTTCAATTAGTGTGTTGCAATTATTTTGACTTTTGGTATCATCTATGGACTTGCTTTCAACTCTGGTAAAAGAAAAAGTGTATTTTTAATAAGCTATATACTAAAATATAAATAATTATTCGTTATTTAGCATTTTAAGGACAGGAAATTAAAATATATTTATCGCAAATATTATATATAACATAAATAGTAAGCCATTTTTAATTCATAATTAGGCAAAAAATTTTAGGCGCAAATTATGATATTATTTTTATAGACGAAATCACATCTTGTAACAAATTAAAATATTAAAGTCTTGGATAATAGATATTTTTGTGGATTTGATCCTAGAAAAATTTCGTAGATATGCTATTTTTTAATTTTTTTTAAAATAAATCGGATGGTTCGGCCATTAAATATATTAAGTTTTAAAATAAGAATCGTATTCCTACCATGTATATAGTATAATGCCTATCCTATAAATTGTAAGACATTTAGGTTTCAAATGTATTAGTAATTAATGAAAAATCATTTTAAATCCAGAATTGATTCAAATTTCCATTATTAAAATGTTTGAAATTCTACAAAGTACAAAGCTGGAATATAATTTCGGCAAAAACGAAGAGTTTTTAAAAAAATATGAGCTATAATTGATTTAAATGTTA